TGCGACAGCATCCCTGGCCCAGCGGATCTCCCTGCCCATGGCGTCCCCATTCCAGCACCTCTCGAGATTGAGGGCCCCCTTCCTCCGCTGCGCGAGATCGTAGCTCTCGGACTTGTCGGGGGTAGCCCCCGCCGTTGCGGGGGACTTCCGTGCTGCCTTCCCTGAAGTGGCCTTCTGCCTCTTGTTCTCGCTGTACTCGCCGCTGTAGTGCGTGACGGAGTCGCGCAGCGCAGCTGGGTTCAACACAGGGGCACTCATGGTTGACGGGCCTGGGCTGAGTGCCGAAGTAGGTGTATCAGGCGGCCTTGTCGAGGCGTCGCCCGTCGACGACGCACCATCATCACATGCGGCAGAACCCTTAGCCTTCTGGGAGTCGAGCAACCTCTGGTAGTTCTCACCCTTAGCCTTCAGCGTCTCGAGCGTGTGTACCTCGGTCTTCGCCTTGGTGAGGACGTGCTTCCATGTGGAGTTCTTCGTCTTGGCATCGTTGCATTCGTACTCGAATACTTTCTTGCCCTGGTCCGCGAAGAGCTGCGCGTCCCCCTTCAACTTCGTCGTGTCCCTGGTGATTGACATCGTGGTGGACACATCGACCTCCAGGTACGGCCTGCTGGGATTCGGCACCAGGACGCCTTTGAAGGCGTTGCCCTCTGCATCCACCAGGTCGCCGAGCCGCAGGCCGACCTTGTCGGGCTCGTGGCCGCCCAAGGCCGCAATGACTTGCTGGCGGGTCAAGCCAATCATCGGCTTGGTGACCTTTACCTCGAAGGACTTGGAATCAGACACGTCGCTAGAGAAAAACGTGCGCATAACCCCGTCCTCGGTCTGTCCAGACTCCTGCCACTCCGCGTGGATCGTGCTGCCCTCATCTTGAACGCCTTCCATAACGAAACTGATATCGCCGTAGGTGGCGAACGCGGCCAAGCAGCGCTTCCAGCACTTCTGGCAGACCTCGACCTGGCAATCAGCGACGGCCTCACCGCTGTCGCAACACCCACAGAAGCCGCAACAGAATTCACCACCTGCCCTGAGCTTTTTCACGTTTGCGATAGTCAGGGCGCCTCTGGACGGTTTCGCAGCTTCTCGTTTCTTGCCACCGCCACCACCGCCAAGACCCTTCCCGCCTCGAGTCGACATGACGCAGCTGCGCTGCAAGAGGGCGAACGGTGGCCCGGAGAGACCTCAAAGATGTCCTACAAGAGACTCACTCCCACGTTCTTGAGCCGAGCCCTCTACAGCGTAGACACTGGTTGATACGAAGATGGGTTCGAAGGACCTGCCCAAAGAGGGGGGAGTCGCGAACCTAGGCGGACAAGCTCACCGAACCTGGCTCGAAGAGGTGCCACAAACGCAAGGCGCCTATTGGAATGGCACCACCCCCCAACCAGTACTACACGAGCTTGGGGGGGCTAAATTGTCAACTCGTGAACCACCCCCAACTGGTACCAGACGAGCTTTGGGGGGCTAGGTCCCACCAGCCATCTGGGCGTAGGTGGTCTAGAGCGGTTCCTCTTCCAGTTTCCTAATCAAACCCATCTCCCTACCTTCTCCCCTGGAAATCAGCCGACGGCTCTTGGGGCCCTCTAGGGGCCCTCCTAGGGCCCTATTGGAACCATCTTATGGGCCCATCAGGGGCCCAAGAGGGCCTCCCGCGCTTGCCTGATCACCTCAACGCGTCTGGGCGTCGTTCCTGGATGGGCTGGTGGGGATACGCGAAGCGTCAAGAACCTCCTTCTGCCCCGCGGGCCTCAGGCCGAGTCCAACAAACGCAGCAATTGGGTACTCCTGTGAGAAGAAGCTCAAGAATCCACCCACGACAAGGATAGCGTCCTGAACGGGCGAGAAACCTTCCATAAGAAACCCAACCCTGAGACCCCAGGATGCCCATTGCTTCTTGGCGTGGGAATGCCACGCTTTCCATAGCGCAACCATCGAAGCCCAAGAAACCCAGGGCACCCTGGACGGAGGAACAGGATCAACCCAACGAGAGATCATCATCATTATCATCATCATCATCATCATCATGGTCTCTTCCTCCTCCCCCTCCTTCCTCCTTATCTTCTCCCTCAACGTCCTCCTTCTGGTGGCGGTGGGTTCCGCGCCACGTAACGTTTTACCTCCGCCAGCGTCTGCCCCAGGGGGAGGAGGAGGGAGGAGGAGGAGGAGGGAGGAGGGAGGAGGGAGGAAGAGGAGGAGTCGGAGGAGGAGGAGGGGCCCGCACGACTCACCTCCTGGTGTGAGTCGTTCAGGCCCATCCCCCTCCTTATCCTCCTCCTCTTCCTCCCTCGCAAGGAGGGGGGGAGGTGCCACTACACCTTGGATGAGGAGGGCACGGAGGCCACTTGCCCCCTCCCACAGGGAAGAGGAGGAGGAGGTGATTTCAAGCACAACCGTCCAAGCGTTCAAGCAGCTTGGTCGTGGCCACTGGCTCTTCGGCCGAAACGGGCGAGGCACTCCTGCCTCTCTTGACAGACGGGCCGAAGTCAGAGAGAGCATCTCGGGGGTAGCGAGTTCGAGAGCGAATGAAAAGTAAAGAAAATGCGAACCATTGCTAGCTTCAAAAAGAAAAAAACGACGACGACGAGAACGACGAGGACGACGACGATGGCGACGACCACGACGACGACGACCACGACGACGACCACCACTACGACGACGACCACGACGACGACGACGACGACTTCGAGGACGACGACGGCGACGAGGACGACGACGACTACGAGGATGACGACGACGAGGACGACGACGACGACGAGGACGACGACGACGACGACGAGGATGCAGAGGACGACGACGACGACGACGACGATGACGACGAGAAGGACGACGATGGCGACAGCAACTACGACAAGGACGATGTCGACAACAACGATAACTCAGTCGAGGCGCTCTCTCGAACTTCTCTAAGAGCGCCTTCAGGCGTCGGGCTGGGCCCTGAGCTACCAAGGGAAATAACGCATCTGAAAAACAAAAAGCCTCTGGTCCTGGACCCCAGACCAGAAGTAATCGGATCCTGGACCTCAGACGGAATTAAAATCTTGGATGCCCAGGGCCCCTAACCTCAGAGAGAAGCTTGGACCTTCACTGGATCACTCCGCTGGCGCATCCTGCTGCTGGCCGTCCTCGACGGCGTCGGACGACGACCCCATGATGCTCGGGGACGACGAGCCGTCGGCCTCGGGAGGGTCCGCCTGCTCGGGGTCGTCGATCCTCTTCATGTCCTTAGCGATGGTGGCCTGGAGCAGAAGGTGCGCAGGCATCTCAGGGATGGTGTACTCTTTGCCGCGGACCTCGGAGGAGCAATGGGACAAGTTAAAAAAACAATGGTAAGGAGATACAGCGTGGTGAAAGAGCTTAGAGGTGTGAGGGACTGGTGGAACAGAGGAATCAGCAGAGTAGGAAGTCGCTGACCTTGATCACCTTTGGCGGCTGCTTCTTGACCTTCTTGCCAACCACCTTCAAGAAGCCAGGGATGATGCAGACGCCCCTGAGCTTCACCTCGTCCTGAATCACAGCCTGCAGCACGTGGATGACGCGGGCGACGTCGTTGTACGAAACCTCTCCCATCTCCGCCTCGGGGCAAGCTCCCTGGAGCCAGAACTTCGTACGCTGGGAGATCTTCGCGTAGAGCAAAGCCTTGTCGAGCGCACGGCGGTGAGGGGTCAGGCGCCTAGGTGCAGGCACTGCTGGCTGAGGCTCACCGTCCGCGGCGGGCACTGCTGGCCCAGGCTGGCCGCCCTCAGGCCCCTGCTCAGGTGGCCCACGCTGGTCGTCCGCAGGGAGGGCACCCTGCGAAGCCATCGCGCACAATGCCTTCGGAGAGCAGTGCGCGGGTAGGCAAAATGCCTTCTGGTGTGGGCGCTTGATCCTCGAAGCCTTCGGGGAACGGGCTAGGCGCCTGATAGTCAGGGTCCCACTAAGTGGGCAAGAGGCTGGGTCCCACTATGCGGGACCCCCACGGCTGGGCGCAGTACGTGGTCCCATGGCTGTGGGACCACCATGGCTGGGTCCCACTATGCGGGGCCCCCAAGGCTTGGTCCCAATCTGGGACCCCCAAGGCTGGGCAAGAGACTGGGTCCCACTATGTGGGACCCCCCCCCCCCACCGGCAATACTGGTTTCCAACGGTGGTTGGGGGACCAGGCGCCTCCCACCGTGCAAATGGTTTCCAACGGTGGTGGCTGGGGGACCGACCAACCCACCAGCCAGGACGCCGCGGGGATTGGCGGAGTTAAAGCCGAAGGCCTACACGATTCAAGCAAGGGCAATCAACGGCCCTCCCAGAAGCTCACGAAATTGCCTGGACACGAGCAGGACCAACCAACCAACCAGCCATCACGCCGCGGGGATTGGCGGAGTTAAAGCCGAAGGCCAACACGATTCAAGCAAGGGCAATCAATGGACTTCCCAGAAGCTCACGAAACTCTCATGACCCGAACAGGACCAGCCAATCAACCAGCCAACACGCCTTGGGCTCTTGGAAGTTTTCGGCCGCTGGCCTACACGATGCGAGGAAAGGCAATCAACTGACTTCGCAGAAGCTCACGAAACTGTTAGGGCCCGATCAGGGCCAACCAACTAATCAGCCAGAACGCAGCGGGCCAACTAAGTGGGCAAGAGGCTGGGTCCCACTAAGTGGGCAAGGGGCTGGGCCCCACTATGTGGGACCCCCAAGGCTGGGCGCAGTATGTGGTCCCATGGTTGTGGGACCACCAAAGCTGGGCCCCACTATGCGGGACCCCCAAGGCTTGGTCGCACGATGCGGGAACCCCAAGGCTGGGTCCCACTATGTGGGGCCCAGCCTTGAGGGGTCCCACTATGTGGTACCCCCTAGGCTGGGCAAGAGACTGGGCCCCACTATGCTATGTGGGACCCCCCCCCCCCCACACAGGCAATACTGGTTTCCAACGGTGGCTAGGGGACCAGGCGCCCCAGGGACCAGACGCACCACCACCCAAAGGGAGGCCCCGAAGCCCCCCCCCCCCAGACAGGGCGGCGAACGGCGGCAGCCTTGGTGCCCGAAGGGCGCCCCCCAGATCACCCAGAGGAGTGGGCGATTTTTTCGGCCTCGGGGTCTGTCGTCGTCGCCGCGGCTGGATTCGCCTCCGAACTAATATTGGTCAGAACGCGCCACCGTTCTCAAAAAAAGGAAAGGGGGGGCGGGAATCACCACCAATCGCGACCCCCTCAGGCGCAGTGCCCGTGAAGGGAGGGATTGCGCACCGGGGCCCCGCCCGCCCCTATGCCACACCCTCCTTAAGGGGAACGGGTGGCTGAGGGACGCGGGGAGCCACCCCAAAGCTCCCCCAAACCCCGTTGGAGCCACGGGGGGCCTCCAGACTCCCTGCGCCCCAACGGGCCCGCAGGAATAAGGCCAAAGAAACCCGCCACCAATTTCGGCGCGCCTCTCGCGCGGATCGTCGGCCAAGGGGCGGCGGACGGCGGCTGGCATCTTCTAAATTCCTTCCTCCCCCTCCTTCCCTTCCTCCCTTTCCTCGCCCCCCTTTTGCGGGTGGAGGAGGAGGGGAAGAATGACATGTGCAAAGAACGTTGTCCAAGAGTGAGTGCTCACCCACGGTATGTTGCCAATAGCCCCCTTGGGGTATCGCCATTCAAAGGTAAATCTGGTAGAGTGGCGAATCGTCTGTTTGCATCCACATCCTCCGGTTTCGGCACAGAATTTGAGGACGTCTCGGGCGAGGCGCTGGCTTTCGCACCCTCGGGGGCTCAGATTGCGAGGATGTATCGGGCTGAGCGGTGCCTGCTTTGGTGGCCAGACCCCTTTGCGTTCAGAACCACTTCTGAAATGCTTCGGGTCGCCTCAGAAGGAGGACGAGGAGAAGGAGGATAAGGATGGAGGGTGACAGGGGAGGGGGACAGGAGGGGTTATTCGGCGGAAGGACGCGGAGGGAACAGGGCAAAGTAAGGGTTGGTGGGAGGACAGGCAGGAGGGGAGGAGGGAGGAAGAGGACGGAGGCTTTTCGCGGACGTCACAGTCTCTGGCAGACTTTGGACAAGACTGACCCTGTGAATGGACCTTGCCAGAATCCTAACCCCCTGGTGGGACTTTGCAAACAAATCTGACCCCCTGGGGGTGCTTTGCAAAAGCCCGACCCTCTAGGGGGACTTTGCAAAAATCTGACCCCCTGGGGGGACTTTGCAAAAATCTGACCACCTGGGGGGACTTTGCAAAAATTTGACCCCCTGCGGGTACGTTGCAGAAATTTCACCCTCTGGGGGGACTCTGCAAAAATCTGACCCCCTGGGGGCACTTTGCAAAAATCTGACCATCTGGGGGGACTTTGCAAAAATCCTGAACGCACGGGAGGGGGGGGGGGGGACTTTGCAAAATGCCGAGCCCAGGCGCCCACCGCTGATCTTGTGGCGCCTGGAATACATCGGCCCCGAGTCCGATGAAAACTAGCGCGCATCTGGGTAGAGCGGTCGAAATCTCAACCTATATGAAAACTTGTCTGGGTGCCGTAGGTGCACACCGAGGCGCCCGAAAAAACAACCTGGCTGCTGGGACATAGGAATTAGGGACTGGTAGATCATACCGCCCCTCGGCAAAGTAGCCCACGAAGTACGTCCCGAAGTACGTCTCAAAGTACCACCGAAAACAGCCCCGCCGCTAAAAAGTACTGCGAAAACTACCCCGCCCCGCCAAAAGTACCTTCCAAAGTACCCAGTCAGCCCAAAAGTACCTCCCAAAGTACCCAGTCAACCCAAAAGTACCTCCCAAAGTACCCAGTCAGCCCAAAAGTACCTCCCAAAGTACTGGTCCCAGGTGCAAAGTACATCTCAAAGTACTGTCGCAGGTACAAAGTACGTCTCAAAGTACCGTCGCAGGTACAAAGTACATCTCAGGTACTGTCGCAGGTACAAAGTACGTCCCAAAGTACCTCCCAAAGTACACTCCAAAGTACCTCCCAAAGTACCGTCGCGGGTACAAAGTACATCTCAAAGTACTGTCGCAGGTACAAAGTACATCTCAAAGTACTGTCGCAGGTACAAAGTACGTCCCAAAGTACTTGCCTCAGGTACAAAGTACAATCCAACGTACCCCGACGATTTCTCGAAAGTACAAAGTACATCTCAAAGTACTGTCGCAGGTACAAAGTACGTCCCAAAGTACGTGTCCCAGGTACAAAGTACAATCCAAAATACCCCGACGATTTCTCGAAAGTACAAAGTACGTCCCCGGGTACAATCCAAAGTACCCAGCCAAAAACGGAAAAGTAGTGGCGCGCGCGTGGCATGCGAACGAAGGATTTGGAGAAATACACGCCTCAGGCGGGGATAACGAACACGAAGCACTGCTCAATACCGCAACCGCTCGAGATACCAGCCAGGGTACCGCGTGCCTTCTGCACATACAAAATACAATATGCTACCACATGCCCCGCGCCCGCGCGATATACCACAGCTTCACCAATAGTACTTCACGGCGCAAAAGCTTGTCCTGCAGCCGCGGCCGATGTAGGCGCCGCGCAACTGAGCGGCGAGCAATCGTCGGCAATGCGCGCGCTACAGATTCCGCGCTTGGGCGGAGTGAGCAGCCATGTATTGGGCGCGCAGATCGAAGTAGCGACTGGCACCTAGCTGGAGCTACTCGGCGCAGCTGGCTGGAATGCACAACGATCTTCTGCGCAATGCACGCCAGCCGCGCCAAAACAAAAAAAATGCGAATTACCCTACTGCTAAATGCCAGGAAGGCTAATGCTGATACCAACTCAAGTAACAGTTCACTGGCCCAGTTACCACTGGCAGTTGAGTTCATGAGGTAATTGTATTGCGATAAAGACTTATTTCTGGAGCACGGGGTGTAATAGTCTCGGTGTGCCCAAACTGCTAAAGCACGCGGCTTCGTGCTCGAAGCTGTAAATAGTTGCTGGAGGGTAACGGATTGACTTCTGATGCTGTGGACGGGCTGTTTTAAGCACACCCCCTCCCACTTCCGTCATGTGAACTTCGTCACAAGCCGACAGCATCGCTTGGGATAAAACGCCCAAGCCCGACAGTGGGATCGATTGTGGGATCTATAGTGTGAAGGATCGTGAGATCGATCGTGATATAGATAGCGGGGCAGGTTGTGACATCGATTGTGAGACCAATCGTGAGAGCAATACCAATATCGATAGTGATGTCGATCGTGATATCGATCAGAAGATCGAACTTGAGATCGGTTCTGTGATCGGTAGTGAGATCGATAGTGATATCGATCATGAGATCGATCTTGACTTCGATATTACGATCGAGAGTGGTATCGATGGTGGAACCGCAGTGAGACCAATGAGGAAGGAGGAGGAAGGAGGGAGGAGGATGCGCGTGTCAAGGGAGGAAGGAGGAAGGAGGGATGAGGAAGGAGGGAGGAGAAGGGAGGAGGGATAGAGAAGGAGGAAGGAGGTCCGCGTGCGTGTGGGCGTGTGTGTGTGTGCGTGCGCGTCTAGCCCAAGACCCAAGACAACACTCCAAGACGACCACCCAAGACAACCCTCCAAGACAACCATCCAAGACAACCCCCAAGACACCCCCCAAGACTCACGGGCAGCCCTCCAAGACAAACCCCCCGAGACAATCCCCAAGACAACCCCCCAAGACGACCATCCAAGACAGTCTCCCAAGACGGCCGGCCTAAATCACGGCCGCGCCACGTGAAGCGCAAGCTTAGGTTATCCTCATCCTCCCTCCTCTTCCTCCTGAGAAACAACGTGGAGCTTTTTCAACCAATCTATGATCGGTCTCGCTCCCGAAGCAAATGTGAATGGAACTCAAGAAACTTGGGAATCGTCCACGGCCGTG